CACACTGATCACTTCCTATAACTCTGTTTTACACAATCCCCAATTTCCACAACCAATGCTCTGATACCACTAGAATTGTCATGACCTGACCCGATCCGGGACGGATCCCGCTCGCACCGGGTCGCGACATGGAACGAACAGACTGATTGACTGACCAGGATCTGGTTATGGAATTTTATTCGGAACTGAATCTTCTAAATTATTTAACCCACCAGACACACAGACACAGAGCTACTATAAATCATCAAACAGAGCGGAACAAAACATCTATCTTTTCTTTTCCTCAAAACAATCATCTACAAATACAGTACATGGCTTTTAGACAGAAAGAAAAATAGAACAGAAAAGCCATGACTGTACAAAAATCAAAAGGTACAAAACAATACCTATACTGATCAGACTCTGAAATCTATTCCTGGACTTCCTTCCCTTTCTCAGATCCTGAAAATCACCAGAAAACAAGAGTGAGCTCAACAGCTCAGCAAAGCAACAAACCTCCAATCAAAATTCTCAGAATCTCAAAACCAACACATCAGACAAATCCGTACAGAAATCAGAACAGAATCGGACAGATATCAAATCGGACAGATCAGAACGGAACAGATCAAATCAGAACAGATACGGACAGATCAAATCAAACAGAACTGAACTGAACAAATATCAAATCAAACAGAACTGTACGGAAATAGAAGTCGCATCAAATCAGAAACAGAACAGATCAGACATATCAGATCAACAGAATCAGAATCGTACTGAAATCAGAAATTCAGATCATATGTCAGAATTGTATAGAAATCATATCATACAGATCATAATCAGATTCATATCGTACAGAAATCAGAATCAGATATTATTTAATTCATAGCTAAATGCCCTGACACTGACGGAATCTCTACGGATTCCGGTCCCTTATGCCTCCCTTCCCAGACACTGACTGAATCTCATAGAATCCATGCCCCTTATGCCTCCCTTTGTGCTCACGGCACCAGAACAGATGTGCTTATAGCACCAGAATAGAATTCATCGGATCCGGAACAGAACAGATATCAGATTTCAGATTTAAGCTCATTTCAGATTTCCCAGACACTAACTGAATCTCACAGGATCCAGGCCCCTTATAACTCCCTTTGTATAACATATACATATAGCATATCAATTCAGAAAGAAATCCGGACAAATCAGAAATCAGACAAAAATCGGGCAGCACAACGGCAGTATACTGAATTTACACAATTTTTCCTGAAAATCATAATTTACCAAATTTGCACAGAATATAGATAATAACATTTCAGAACATTTATTCTACTGCACAGAAAATTTTCAATTACACAAAAAAATCCAGTCTACTAAAAACATCGTCGAATCAAAAATACCCGGACAAAAATTTTTAGAAAATAACCAAAATGTGCACACTCGGCACGTCAACAATATACAAAAAGTTACGCGGTAAAAACTGAACCAATCAAAAGCTACGGACGAAAATCATTAACGGAAATAAAATCCGGACAGAAAACACCGCCAAACACGACGGTTCTGAAAATTCAGAAAGGCGGAATGTGCCTTACCTTGCGTACAACAATATCTCGAACAGTCTCGTCAGACGAAAATGGCTCCGCGTCGCCCGAAAATCAACTTTTCCAAGATTTCTCTCTCCTCAATATATTTTTATTTTAATTTCTGATTTTCTCTCTCTTCAAAACGACTGATTTCAGCTTTATAAAATTCAGATCGGCCCGGCCGATTGCCAGATCGTCCCGGGACGATCAGACCAAATTTGATCGTCCTGGACGGTTCCCAGAACTATTTTCCGGCCGATATTTTGAACAGTGCCAATCGGCCTGGCCGATGCCTCGATCGGCCTGGACGATGCCTACAGAAAAACACCTGAAGCAAATCTGGGTAAATTCTGGAGCAAATTCTCAACTGATCGTCCCAGGACGAACCCAGATCGTTCTGGACGATCCTGGAGCAGATTTTGATATTACATGTAGGTTCAATGATGATAGCCAAATGGTGATAATTGGATCTCTAAGATCCAACAATGGTGGTCCAATTTTGAAGCTCTCTCCAATTTCAAGTTAATATCCAAGTTTACAATTCAATGTAGAGAATGATGATCTATTTATATATATGGAGAGTTATATTATCTATAAATATACCCAAAATTTAAAACACTCCATCACAAAGTTCATATTAATCCCTCAATCATATATCATTCTTTCAACATTTAAGTGTTTTAATGATGTCAAAATTTAGTAATCTTGAACTCATTTTATTTTTCTCATCGAAACATATGATTTGATTATAAGCATGAAATATTTAAAAATCATAATTTGAATAATCCTAAATTTAATCTTGAAAATTAAAATATAAATACTACAACATCCATACTAGATTATGTAAATTTTATGACCAAACAACACCACTAACGATATCCTTCCACAATCCCCCCCCCCCATTTCATAAAATAATAATAAAAACAACAATTAATAACTTCATACTCACTACTACCTACAATATAAATCCTAAACCAATTGTTAGAGCACTAACTTTTTAACAAATATTAATCTTAGCATCAAATAGATCACATTGGAGCCCAAATCCATTATTCAATCATACATTGTGTTATCATTGTATGAAGAAAAGAGTTATTTAATAAGCAAAATAACTATTAAATCCTTGAAGTAGCTTTCATTGCCCCCATGACAAGAGAATAGGTAAATTCAAGTTGGCCTTCTGCCGCACCATTTAATATTATGATGATGTTTAACTAATGACCTCATAATGGGCCATCACACACTAATTACATATCTAATCAAGTTTAATTATCATGTCACTAACGAACAAATACAAAGCTCTGCTAATCACTTAGTATTAAACAGTATTCAAATCGAGCTTCCAATGGTAACTTGAAATTAAACTAATTTACTCTTCCAATCAAAAAGAGCAAACTGAGCTTGAGCTGCTGACAAACGGCTTGATTTGATAACATATCTGTTCTTCAAATCCAGACAAAAATTACCGACGCCGCGGATTTGGAATCCGGTTTTGCATCGCCATTCTAGGGCCATTTGTGACATGTGACGGGTGAGCAGTGCCCCAAATACTCTGCGCCGTACTCGTAGAATCACCCTTTTCAGTCGATCGTCTCGGTCGGGAGATGTAAAAGCTTCGATCTTTATGTGGAATTAGGCTCTTAAGCGATGATCCATGGTGGGGGCTTCTCTAAAAGCTTCCGCGTATGCGCTATTCATCAAAAAGGTGAGATCTTGCATCCATTTGCTGTTCTGGGCAATGTTTTCTCTCTCCTGCTTTTCTTTAGTTTATTCAGAGTGCGATTTGTACGTTTGCATTTGTTTTTCTTCTCTGTCCGACGCTATGCTTCGATGCAGGAATCAGTTTTGGAGTGAAGTTTTTGCTGGACTGAGCGCAATCCAGCGGCAGTCTGCTAGTTGGTGTTCTTCCCCTTTATTCATTTATTTCGTTCATCATTTAACTTTGATGTAAAATCAATCTCTCTCTCTCTCTCTCTCTCTCTCTCTCTCTCTCTCTTTCTCTTAATGATCTGCAGGATTTTATCATGGCGGAGAATATTACAGCTAGGTGTGCTGAGAGCTTGAAGTTAGATTCTGTGGAAGATGCTTGGGTGAATGGGATGTTTCACAATGTTTGTGGTCCTGTAAACGTAGGTATTTTAAAGAGGGAGCTTGGAGAGAAAGCTAAGGTTAGTAAAATTCCGTCCTTTTTCCTTTTTTTTCACTGAGGGTTGATTTATTTGGTTTTAAACAGATAACATTTTATATTAATGGTAATTTTATTTGTACTCATCTTTGTGTTTGAAAGTAAAATAAACATTTATGAGGAATTTTAAACAAGCTTTTGGAGTGTAAACCAGTATAGAATTTTAACTATGTCCAATCAAATGATGAAATATGATAAATTCACTATTTAAAAATATGGTTTTGTAGTTTCAAGCAACCAATGAAACCCTAGATAAAGTTATTCATTCTGCAACTACTTTAAGTATATTCTTTATGAATTAGAGCATGCTTTACACTGATCTTTAGCTATTTGCATTATATTAGCGAGCATAACTTTTTTTCCTTAATGATTGTCGGCCCTTTGTGGTTATGAAAAGCTTAATTTGCTGCTGAGCCCATCAAGTAGGATCTAATTGATGCTCGTCATATCGGCATCGATGATGTGGGCTGCAAAGGACATGAAATGTAGAATTGTACAAACAAATTAATCTTTTGAATGAGCTATGCACTATTTATATCCATCAAGAAGTTTTAGGAATGTTTAAAAATAGACTGTATATTGATAATGAGACTTGGTGAAGTGATGGGTACAAAGGTTTATTAAAGAAAAGAGAGGAACTTTTAAAAGTGCCAAAAAGTGAATACTATTGAGGAATCTTACGATTATAAGAAAGCCAAAAGTCTTTCAAAGAGGGCAGTTAGTGGAGTGAAAGCTACAATTTTTTATGATTCTTATAATAGGTTTGGTACTATGGAAGGAGAAAAGGAGATTAGCTAAGAAATATGAGATTTAATGAATTTTGATCAAGTTAGATATATTAAAATTGAAGATAGTAAGGTCTTGGTTAAAGATGAAGATATTGTAGAAAGATGGAAATGATACTTTTATAAATTATTAAATGAGGCTTTTAAGGAAGAAATTATTTTGGAAGAGCATAATGAAAAATATAGTGAAATATATTATAGATAAAGCAAAAAATGTGAAGTGGAATTGTCTATGAAAACGATGCATAAAGGTAAGGCTTAAGGGGTCTATATGGATAACTATTAAAATTTAGAGAGTTATGAGGGTTATTGTAGTGATTTAATTAATTAATTTTTAAATTAATAGGATACCAAATGATTGGAGAAGAAGCATATTATTAATATTTAAGATTAAAAACAATGTTCAAGATTGTGTTAATTATGGATGAATTGAACTATAAGTCATACAATAAATTTAAGGAAGTGAGTTCAAAATGGAGAAGTGTATTAATTTTTTTTTTATATGATAAGAGGATATCATGGATGCTTGAAGGTAAAAATTATAAACTATAGTTAGGTTGAATATGTTGCATGAATTCAAATGTTAGGTCATACAAATCATTGATATTTTTTGTCGATGTGGTAGTGGTGATAATTTTATGATATATGTATGGCAAACTTGAGGACTGTAGTATCTATAAGCCCATATATTCTTCATCATATGCAATGAATATACAACATTCAAATAATTTGTGTAGAATGCTTGAACACATAACATGCACAACCAAATATTTTCAAATGCATTTAGCCATTTAGTCTTTTGTACCTTCTTTTGCAACATTTTATATCGACTTTTATTTGTAGAATATTATTCAACAATCCAATTGATTATGTGAAAAATAACATCAAATGATTCTAATTGATGTATATGGACATTTTTTCTGCTAACAACACACTAAACCCATCTCTATGGTTTAGCTATGTTTTTTTTTGCAACTCCATTTTCGCTTTAAGGTATGTTGACAAGAAATTCAATGCATCACTTTGTTATGTGTAGATTATCTTCAAAAATTTTTAAACCATTCACCCCCATTATCACTGCAGAGATATAATCTTTTAGGTCCTAGAATAATTTTCACTAAATAATTTGAATCAAATAAATATATGCAATAGGAATTTTTCTCTTAGAAACTACGTCCTATATAAAAAGAGTAGTTGTGTACAAAGATGACTAATAATTTAATAACGATTAATTTCTATTTGGAGAAGGACATTGACATAGGATGGTTAAGAGTTTTGTGTTTACTAATGCAACATAGGATTAGATACACAATAAAAGTACATAGAAAATATAGTCCGGAGGGTGACAATAATTAATTTTTAGCAGAATTAGTAACTTTTGATGCAAAAGCACAAACATGTATCTTTCATTCCAAACAATGATTTAATAGTTGCCAAAATATGAAATTCCAATTTAAAAACAACGAGAAAATATAAATTTTTAGTAAGGATTAAGTTTCACATTCCGAAGAATATAAAACTTATCACACTTGACCCAACATTTCAGTCACACATACATCCACTAAACAAAATAAAAGCAAGAACAATGATATAATTCACCCAAAAAGAAAAATTATGTTTTACTATAGTTAGCATCTATGAAGCACACAAGAATAAACATTTAGCCAACATACACTATAATTGAAGCAAACTGAGATTTTACTGTAGTACTTAATGTCTAATAATTTTACTGTAATACTCAATTGTCAATAATTTTTATATACTTGAGAAGTCTTAATTATGGCTTATAAAGGATCCAAAATAAAAAATTCTTCAAAATCCTCCTAAATCTAGTAAAAAATTTAAGTTCTCATTCTCCCATATATAAATAGTAGGAATCAGTTGACAAGCTTGCCAAAAATTATTATATATATCTGAATGATCAATTCAAATGGTCTCTTGGACCTTTTACGGGAAGAATCGATATGTAAATTGAAGTCATTGCTAGATTGACAAGCTTGCCAAAAATTATTTCTAGAACTATTAGTTTTTGGTGAGAAAGGCTCTTCACCAGAATATTTTTAAGGACATCCATTGAACTATACCCTAAACAGAATTGCCAAAGGCTCTGATCTTCATATTGAGAAGCAGGAGTTGTGGCACAAACAAAAAGGTTGTTGACGCCAATTAGACAAGACCTTACTCTCCTGTAACCTTGAGAAAGTTTCTTTGGTGGCTATTTCTGTAAGAGATGGAAGAGCAAGTAAATAGATAATAAAAATCAATGGCTCTCATAAATTAGAAATAGAAATCAAGCAATATTTGACAGATAGATCCAGGAATACATATCGATCGGAGGTATGAAGAATGGTTTCTCCTCTGACTCCTACATTAATGGTAGGGTGAGTATTTCTGTATCAAAGATTTACATCTATCACCATTGTAGGATCTTAAAGACAGTAATTTACCTGAACTTGTTGCTTCATTATTTGAAAAGCTACATCACCCATAAATCCTCTGCATTGCCAGATAATGCTGTTTCTTACAATTTAATTATGTAAGTCCTGTCTTATAAGACTCATACAATCTGGCTTCTTTAGCTTATCTATTACCCATCTTGGTAAACTCCATTATCTTTTAACCGTATGATTTAATCTTCCACAAATTTCACAAATAGCGGTTCAAAATTTTTGTTGCTTTGCACAGGGCTTGCTTTAAAATTGTCCAAGTTCATCTCATTGCATCTCTGAATTTCTGCTGAATGTCCTCCTCCAGCAGAATTCCTTCCCCTGCTTCCTCTTCTAACTGTGACCACATCCACATGGATTGAAGCTTAGTATTGTCCTCATTTCAATGTATAAAGCATAATTGCTTGAAGAATTTTCAGAACTTGTGGGTTCATCCTCTTGAGGACAACATTATCACACTGTAGACTCCAGAAACCATAATTCTTCAAACATGGGAAGCAGAAATAATTATTACATAGTTGTCCAGCATGTTTATCGCAGATGTCATAAATGTTCGAGTGCTGTTACATAGCCCACCTAAGGTCAACGTTGTCTTATTTCTAATGCATACGATTCTTTATCAAGACAGTCCCACCCAATCCATTGTCATCTATTTTATACGGATACAATATTGTTCTGTTGTGCATGTTAGTGTTACACATTACTGTAAAGGTTACTGTCAAAGGGCATTATTTTTCTATTGATTCATAGGACATATTTTCCTTATCCAACATTTACATATAGAGAAGGGGATGTCATGAAATGGTAATCAATATATTTTTTTCTTCTCTGTTCAGTTTCATTGAAGTGAGATCTACAATGCCTTATGGCGCAGAATGTTGGCCATTAAAAGAGAATCATAAAATTAAGTTAAGTGTTGCAGAGATGAGGATGCTCAGGTCGATGAGTGACTTTACTGAGTTTACTCTTAGAGACACAATGTGAAATGACTATATACTTGAAAAGGTGGGAGTAGCTCCAGTGGCAGATACAATTAGAGAGTCGCCTTAGATAGTTTGGTCACATAAAACGTCGGCCTTCCAATAATCCTGTTAGGAGAGTAGATGTATTAGATTTGATCTATGTTAAGAAATGTAGATGTAAACCTAGAAAGACTTGGTTATAGAGTATTATAAATGACCTTTCTTTATTAGATTTAAACGAGAATTTGACTCTTAATATGACATAACGGAGAAAAAAGATTCTTGTAACCTACCCCATGTAGTGGGATAAAGGCTTGATTTTGATGTCGTCGTGTTGTTAATGTGTTTCCTGAGCTCTTGACAATATGCTCTTTTTCTTTCCGTGCAGATAATTTTTAAAATGACTGCAGCTAATGTAACTTATAAATCTATGGAATTCACTGTCTATGCTGTTGAAAGCTTAAATGTAGTACACATGTTGTAATGTGTTCTAAAGCGGTTTTTATTTTTCCACTTGATTTTCTTAATGTAGTACACATGTTGTAATGTTGTTGTTGTATTACTGATTAGATGGAAGGGGGGTTGACATTTTGCAACATGTTCATTAAAGCGACTGGAAAGAATTGGGTTACCCCTGCATATGAATTCCCATTCAATTACCTTGAGGTACGGTAGAATGCCCTTACATTCCTAAAACCTTGATGTGCCTCCAAAACTCTACTCCTTTGGAGTTAAAATTAAACACAAGAGCTTCCAATGTAACTCATTTTACATTAGGAAAATCTATTTTCTTATTCAAAGATGTGCTATAGATATATTAATATCTTTTTAATGCTTCAAAATCACTTGTTTTGACATTAATCTTTGCAGGATAAGACTTACGTGGAATATGAACCTGTATGTAGTGATACAAATGAAAGGTATCTCTGATATTTTCTTGAATATGCTAGTAGTATGCTGCACAAGCTACACAGGTTCATTGAAAAGTAAATGCATTAATGATGCCATTTTTCATGATTTTTACTCGACAGATCTCATGGGAAATGTACATCTAAATTGTTAGAATGATTTCCTAACTACTGGAGAAGCTATCGTCATACTTCGATCCTTCTTTCTTTGAAAAATTAAAGAAGACCATAGATAATCTCTTCCTGCTGTCATCTTATACATTTGAAAGTCCCATTCTATAGAAAGATAGTATCCACTTTTTCTCTTCAATAAATCCAACTCTAACAATATTTCTAATGTTCTTGAAAGATGGTTGATCTTGAAAGTTGTTATGAGAAGAGAACTTGATGATTTTGTTCACAGAACCTAGATACATATTTATAGATTTTCGTGGTGAATACAATGTGAAATAAATAATGAGAATAATTATAATTAAGGGAGAACAAATCATTCATTATTCTAATAGAAACTCTTTTATAATATTATTTTTTCCTAATATACACATGTGCTAGCATTGCTCAAGTTGGAGCATACATATGTACTAGCGTTATCTTGTCCTATGAGTGAGAAAATGGTCCACGACTTATAGCTTTGGTATGGTTGACATATCAATCTTATTAGGAAGCTCAATATTTTGTATGAAATGAAAGTCAACTTCCATTTGTTTGGTCCTTTCATGAAATATAAGATTGCTAATAATGTATATGGATGCAGCACTGTCATAATATACAATCACAGGCTTAATAAGTAGGAAATCAAACTTTTCTAAAAGTGTTTTAACCCAAATCATTTTATATGTGGAATGAATTATGACTCTATATTCAGGTTCATAAATTCATTGGTCTATATTCAACTTTGGCATTAGATTTATCTACAATGCTTTGCTTCTTAATATTCGACAAAGTACAGCACCCATAAGTTGATTTTCTATCGTCAACATATCCATTATAGTTAACATCAAAGAATGCTTCAATATTTAATTGCCCAGTTCGAGCATACAGTAGTTCTTTCCTAGAAGGCTTTTTGTATCTAAGAATATGAAAAGTAATATTCCAATATTTTTATTTTTGGTTTTGCATATTCTGAATTGCAATCCTAGCAATAAAAACAATATTCAGCCGCTTAACTGCCTGATAAATCAAAATTTCAATTTTCAACCAATCTTTGATATTGAGATTGATCATCATTTTTCGTATCACAGTGAGACATGATTTGGTTATCCATAGGGGTGTGAGCAGGTTTTTATCCTAGAAGACACTTCTTTAAGTATATCAATGACTTATTTTCTTTAAAATAAAGAGATTTTGTTTTAAGCAAATTCTATCCGAAGGAAGATTTGCAGCACCCTATGTCTTTGATTATTAAACAATTCAATAAGTAGTACAACTGGGCTTATTTTTGCATGTTTTATAAAAATGGAATGTTTGGTGATACTATCGTGAAGGCCAACTTTTGCAAGAATTTTATAGAAATTTTAAAATAAAGTCTGTGGACTTTACTTAAGCTCTTAAATAACCTTCATAAATAGGCAAATATGTTTCTTCTCTTGAGCAACATACCCAAGTGGTTGATTGATATATAGACTCATTCAGATCACCATAGAGGAAGGTGTTACTAGCATACATCTACAGCATGGGCCATCCTTTGATTAATGGCTATAGACTTTGACGAAGTTGAACCTGGCAACTGGAGAAAACAAATATCATAATAATCTGTCCCATAGACTTCAATAAAACTTTTCTAGCCAATCTTGTATCGCTCAATGGAGCCATTAGGATGTCACTTGATATTGCAAACCTATAGACAATTGATTTAATTATCATGTACTTAATTATTAAGGGCACTTATTGTTTGCACACCTGCACACTAAGCCACAAGTCAAGAGCAAACTGTCGCGAACCACTTACACCTGCTAGAGACCAGCTCCACCATGCTTGCTACAATAGACTGCCATCAGCCATACTGCACACATTATAACCAACTGTCCTCTACACATCTATATATACACACTTTATGTGCCTAGAATACATAATATCATACTATGCTACAGTAAAGCACACAAAGAATTTTCTCTGCTATCTTCCTCTTCTTCCTTGCTGTTTTACTCTATTTGAAAGTCTTCTCATGGTATCAGAGCATCCAGCTTAACCGAACTCTACTTCTTGTCCAATGGCTGATCAAGAGTTAACTTCATCCCTTCCGTCCAACTCCAATCTCTCTGCTTCTATGATCGAGTTCACTGTACCAACTCCCCTCAAGTTCCTCATGTATAATCTCAGGAACATTGTCGCTACACAGCTCACCAATGATAACTACACCATTTGGCGCCTTCAAATCTATCAACATTTTTTAGCAGACGTCTTTGAGGGCTACCTCAAAGGTGCACATGCTTGTCCGCCTAAACCTTCCCCTACCTCCCCCAACACTGATTACCACCTATGGTGCCTCGTCGACCAAAATCTGATATTAGCTCTCTTTTTTACAATCTCCCTATCTGTACTGCCATATGTGCTCACACTTTCCACTGCACATGAGATCTGGGTCACCCTGAAAAAATGACTTCAACTCATCAATCGCTCTTGCGTCATTTAGCTTAAGAATGAGCTTCATCATATTCAAATGCGTGACTGCACCGCCAATCAGTTGAAAGTAATGAAATATTTATTTTCTATTCTTATAAAAATATTATTCAATCTTAATTTTACTTAAATGATGATATCTAGTTACTGGGTTGTACTTTTTCTTACAATTGGATGAATACCAAATAGATATTCACCCCTAATATATGAACTTAATTCATTACTGATTTTATCTTCTTTATCTAGATCTTTAGACTATCTTCCAATATATGAATATATTTTTTAAACTAATTTTTTGTCCCTTGCAATATTAGAATTGCTGAAAGAATATTCAGGATTTAAACTGTTTTTTTTTTATTATTATTTTTTTAATTCAGGATTTAAACTGTGTGCATTTGCATATAAAGGTCGGTGGAGTTGCATTTCCTATCTGCTATCAAAAATTTTAAAAATTTGTTCATATTTATCATTGTTGAAATTTGGAGCAATTTCTTCTTTTACCCTATCAATTACTTCTTTTGCCACTTTTTTTTAGGTTTTACACTATAATATTCAAGATCGATTGTTGTGAGATGGTATATTGAGATTGTTTTGTCTTTGCTTCTTTGGCATAAATACCAAAAATAAATTCCACATAAGTAAAGAGTTTCTTCAGATTGAATTATTGTTGATGAAAATATTGTAAAGTCAAGAAGACTGTCGCGAAACAAGTTTTGGTCTGCATTAGAAGTGAATCAAATAGGCGAGGCCTTGAATATACGAAACTGTTTAGTGCTACCACTTTCTCAAAGCATTGTCATAGTCTCTAAGCTTTAAAAATATCCTTTATTATCAAATCTAAATAGTGAGTGGCATAGGGAGTCCAATATGTGTGTAGATATTTCTATCTTCATCAACAACTTTCCTATAATGATATTAAAAATAATGTAAGAGTAAAATTCATTTCATACATAAAATAATATAGTTTGTACCAAACTTGCAAGGATTTTCAGATGCATTATCAATTACAACTTAAATCACACTGTGTGGGCCAATAGCCTCAATATACTTACAGAAAAATTCAAATATCTTCACTATATTCTTTGAGAAAAAGCTAACATCTATTTGACTTTATAAATACAGTTCCTCTTAGACAATTCACAAGAAAATTAAATTAACTTTTCCTTTTCCTTGATATTCATCCATATGTCATAAGAGAACAATCCTAATGTACACAAGCTTCTTGATGCCATCACAGTAGTTTTTATGTATATTCCAATCTCTTTCTTCAAGCAAGTAACTCGTACCTCATAATAACTAGGTCTCATCCCAAGATCAAATAGTTTAAATATCTTAACCACAGTAGGGAAGCTATTATAATGGAATTCCAGCATTATACATCAATCTACAAAATACTTGAATTGCCCTTCCCCTCATTTCCTCATTGCCTTCTTAACAACATCCATCTCTTCGCAAAATTTAATTTACCTTTTCTTTGCTTCACCATGGCATCAGGATTTGATGTGAGATAAGTATTTAATGATCTCTTAGCTCTTGATACTTTAAGCATTGATGTTGAACTTTGACTAGAAGCATCGGATTTGGTTGTCTGATAGCTTTTGGTTATGCCATCATTTAGAATATCATTATCTACCATCACATCAAAACCATTGCTTTTGTTAATCCAAACATGTGGCATTTCATTAATATCTTCTTTTAGATCTTTTTCCCTTAATAGGGCGTTCGTATTTCATCCTTTATATGTTTGGGGCAATTAGAATAAGCTTTAGCATTTTTAAACTCTCAAAAAAGTGTTGTTTGTGATGTGTAATTCCTCCTTTTGTTACTTTACCATAGAAAATATATGCCATATAATTGTTATCAGCTTCATTTTCTAATATTGCATATTTCCATTCTGAATTTTTTTCTCAGTAGATTGAAATAAACCCGACATTCTTTTGATCATCTGTAAGCAAGCATGCATTCAATATAATTCATTTAATCAAACAATAAACTTGTTGCAAGAGGAAAAAATAAATAATTACATAGAGTTTCATAGAAAGTTTACAGTAATATGGTAAACACTAGTTACTTGCACCTTTTTTTTATATAGATTTGGAATTTAAACGCATATGCAACTGGATGAAGCTGTTTACCCTCCAAACTATCAATCAGATTAAGGAGATGCTTGTATGTTTACACATGCCACAATTGAAAGAATCACATAAATCACAAAGCCTACACTTACACATGCAAGAATAAAAAAAATCATATAAATCATAGCAAAAATGATAACTTTAAATCCTACAAAAACTTGAATCCTATTCCTTCTCCATTTGCCTTAAATCCAGGTTTTAATAAATCTGTACTTCGAAAAATTTGAGTAGGATTTAAGTTTGATTTATCCTAAATCCTGCCAAACACAAACAATGATAATTTTAAATCCTACATAAACTTAAATCCCGTCTCTTCTTCGTTTTGCTTTAAATCCAAGTTTAATAAATCTTATATCTCAACAGATTTGAGCAAGCAAGGGTGAAATTAGCCTTTTATTTTTTTTGGGGGGGGGGGGGGGGGGGGTTTTGGCGAACACATTACATATACATATGTGCATATATAGTTGTTGAGAAAGACTAAAAAGATTAATAACTGCTTAAAATTACAGTTTGATGTATGTTAGGTATAGTAAAAGGTGAATCTGTTGTTAACTTTTTGGTTGATTTCTAAGCCTTGAAAATTTCCTTTCGATTCAGTGCATGGTATGAATTTTAGAATCTTGTTTTAGTAGTTAATTTCTTTAATGTAATTTTTTTAGAGCCTATTCAATTTTACTCATCCATCAATTCCTTAAAAAATAAATATAAGCTAAAACTCATCCCCATAATAATGTAAATCTTTGTAAATTAATCTCTTGATATTTTCACAATCATTATAATGAAAGATCAAGACATAGAAAATGCGATGAAATTTATAAAAATATCCAAAAAACAACTACATATTCTGAGGGAGAATGGATGGATTGCTTTGCTAGAGGAAATATCACATTTTGTAGTATTTGCGAAGTTGAAGTTTCAAATATGAATGATACATACAAAACTCATCGTCGATCAATACAAAGAGGTGAAGAAATATCAAACCTACATCATTATCGTGTTGATCTATTCTACACTGTGGTTGACATGCAACTTCAATAGCTAAATAATCATTTTTCTGAATCTAATATTGAATTTCTTCTTTGTATGACATGCTTAAATCCAATTGATTCCTTCAATGCTTATGTTGAGAGGAAATAGATATGTTTAGCAGAATTATATCTAAGTGATTTTTTTACTGTTGATCTTGTAGTTTTTAAAAGTAATTATCAACTTATATCATTGATATGCGCACTGATGATGAGTTCTCTTCTCTAAACAATATTGTTGATGTTACAAAGCAAATTGTTAAGGCCAAGAAGGATCGTGTGTATCCTCTGATTTACAAATTTATTATTTTAGCATTAACTTTACCAGTTGCTACTGTTACAGTGAAAATAACATTTTATGCAATAAAGATTATCAAACATCGATTGCGTAGTAGGATGGGTAATGATTGACTCAGTGATTATCTGGTACCTTACATTAAGAAAGATGTGTTCGATTTGATTCCTAATGAGGTTGTAATGCAACATTATCAAAAGATGTAAAATAGATTAATAATTTTCAATTTATCTATTATAATGTAATACAAGATTTTGTTTTGAATTATGTCTTCATTTTATTTTATTTTTAATATTTTGTCTATTTATATGAAATTCCTCCACCCCCCGGTCAATAGTTTCATGTGCTTTATGCAGGCTCTCAGGTAGTATATCTCACCTTAACAATTGAGTCTTCCCCTTAACGGATGCCCTTATTTCTCCCTCTCCAAAGCTTAATCTTTCTCAAACAACCTCAAATCATTTCTCTCATTTAACCCTACAACACAAACTGAAATCAATGCATCGTAAATATTTGAAAATTCCTTACTTTGCTTCATCTCTTTCCTTTCTTCATTCTTTTTCTTATTCTGCTTCTTTTCCTTCATTTCTTCAATTCTCTTCTAATTGCTACAGTATCCAAACTTCTCCTACCACAAGCTAGTTGCTATAGTACCCTGCAACAGTACCTAAGCCCTTCTTTGTTCGGTCAGTAGCTTTATGTGCCTTATGCAGGCTCTCAGGTAAGGAGGGATTTTCAAAGGTTTTGGCTGGTTTTAGCTCTTAATAGAAATATATATGAATTATTTTTAAATAATCCCTTAAATCCCCGGCCAATCTGCTCCACCAAGAATTCTTTTCTTTTACTTTTTCCCGCTTTTGCCACATAGTTGGATAAGCATTTAAGTGGAAATATTTTAGTAACTTATCCCATTCTTCTCTTGATGTGTTGTAATCAATTCTAGATTTGCATATCATCTTGTTGAAGCAAAAAGAATCTCATAATAGTTGTAGATATGAGAGATATTACTTTCTTGTAAGTATGTGGAGTGAGAAATTCTCACATCTTTTTGATAGTTTTGAAACATGATAGTTTAGCAATAGAGTGTTCAAGACTATAGAGAAAGTAGGTCAACATAGTCGGATGCTTGTTATTTTGAAAACATGTTGTTAGGGCTATCGGGAGGAGAGATATCAAGATAATGAAGTTTGTAAGTAGAGGCTGCACTTTGTATGAGAAACTTACTTGTAAGTATCATAGGAACGTTTCTGAATGAAGCTTTTGATTTTTCTTATCTGTACTTAATGCTTTTTTATTTTGTTGGGGAAGGGCTTTGTTCTTATTGGTCTTGGTGTTCCATATAGGTAGGTACATCTCTACTCTATACAGGAGCCTGTAGTTCTTTCTCATTTGTTATAAAACTGTGTTCTTTGCTTAGCATTTAAGGAAAAAATGATCAAAATGGTCCCTTTAACTCTTTATAAAGGACCAAAATGGTCCCCAACTATATTAAAGTACTTTTTTTGTCCCTCAAGTCCTTAAAGAGGAACTAAAATAGTCCAACAATGGGATTATTTTTGTTCCTCTTTAAGGATTTCAGGGACTAAAATGATCCTTCGATATAGTTGGGAATTATTTTGATATTTCATAAAGATTCAAGAGACCATTTTGATTCTTTTTCTCCTTAGCATTTGGTAATTGCATCATTGGAATATTCATGCTTTAGCTTTTCATTTATAATTTGTATAAGAAAGCCTTTCACGAGCCTAATTTTTTTTTTGCAATTTTAAGGATTTCTGATTTTCTGTTCTAATTGTTATGCTTTCTCAACTTCTTTGTTGAGTATATGAATCCTGAATTTTAGGTTTATTCGAGATTATAGATTTGATGTCTCTAAGTTGGAACCTTCGGCTGCAAAGGTTTGTTCTGTCCTATCAGTTGCCATTATTTTGTTTTTTACAGTGAAAAATCACCATTGCAACTTTTTGAGGGTTTTTCTATGTTATCTGAATTCTGAAATGCAGGCATTGCTTCAAATATCAACATCATTAGTAATTCTCCTGTTTTGATAGCTACATTGTGCTGACAACAGCCGTGCATTAGCAAGTCTTTATATTGATAGGGTATGCAGTAGACCATGCACTAGCGGAAAGTCTTAATATTCTATGGCTAATGCAAAGTTTTCTAAAAAGATTTAGGTTTCGTTTGGGACAATTTTCTTCCTGCTTCTTAAAATAGCTTTATAGTACAAAAATTAAAATTTTTATATTAGAAAGCTGCTTTAAGAAGCAATAAAAAAGTCATCACAAACGAAGCCTTAGTTTATCAAATTTCATAATTTCCTTTTGCTTCATCCAGAGTTGTCCCTGGGCAATACTATAACTATTGATAATAATGGTGAAAAACGAGAAAAGAGGAGAGAAAAAAATAATCTAGAGAGATAAGCTCTAGGATTTCACTATATTGTTAAAAAGTACAAGTTTTAAGTAAATAATTGAATGTTTACTTGGCTTACCCTCTAATTTATAGGCTTGGGTCGAGGTATAATATTATAGGAAAAGCTACATTTAGGCAACATAAGTAAACTTACAAAATAAGTCAGCCTGTTGCTATTTGATTATATTGGGGTTGCATGATGAGTTCTAAACTTAGGGAAACTACATGTGAAGTTGCCAATCAACTTATGCTTGCCGAGTACCGGTGAGCTGCTTTGATCATCGGGGAAGTAACTTCGATGACTTTGGAAACTTTGCCTAGTCATCCCTCGAGTCTTGTAATGCTTGATGAAGAGCATCAGCTGAATCTAACTCTACAGTGAGATTTCTAAACTTTTGGTGGCTTAAAAGAGTTTATTCGACTCAGTCAACCAGCCTTGAACCTGATTTAGGTGCTATTTGGGTTTACACTTTTCTTGTTGATTATTCTCACAATTCCCCATTAGACTGGGCGCGACAATTAGGTCACTCTCACATAGACTTGAGTACAGAGATTCCACTTAAATCTTTCAGTGCTTTTTGAGTAAGTTGACAACTCATGTCCATTATTTTTTTCATTACTTAGGCTCTGTTTAGATTGGAGGAAAGTGAAGGAAATGAAGTGAAATTCAAGTAATTTAAGTCTGACTATAAGTTCAAAGCTATTGATATGAGATTTTTAGTTCTTTATTGTTTTCCTTCACTCAAATTCTTAGCATCCAAACAGTCTTAGTATAGGAATAAGAGTTTTGTATTTTAAAAGGAGGGTTTTTTATTTTTTATTTTTTGAAAAATGGAGGTTTCTTTAAATATTTGGGATATAGCTAATGATGATTATAATTGTGATGATGAATGCATTATCTTCGAAGTATGGTGTTATTAACATGTAGATGTGCTTGATTTACTTTTATGCTCATCCAATCGATTTAGATTGCATAACCTACAGAAGTAGTAATTCATGTGTGTGTGTGCAGAGAAAGAAGGTCGAAGTCCCTACCTATCTCACCCAAATCACTCATAAGGTATCATCAACACACTTTTGCAGCATTATAATTGGATTTGCCTTGGGAAAACTGATATACGCTGCTCTTTTGACTTATTATAGGCCTGGATGGATACAGATATTGCCTCCAAGTCCCCGGATCAGGTGGAAAGATTTGTTCCCAGATATTTGAGGAAGCTGGGTGTGATTCTTCTGCCAGTCCTAGTTGAGCTGCTTGCTTGGGTTTCCCTTGAGACACTTACGCTCACATTACTTCACCTCAGGTAAGTTATATTTGTTCCCTGTATACCAGATGATATAAATTTTAAATGCTTATTACTTTTAAATGGATTAATAATAAGTCTCCATGAATGCTAATACAAAAAATGACGCTTAGATGCTTGTTTTCCGAAAAACAAAGAAAAAAAAAAGACATTTGCATGCAATAAATTATTGGCAATTCTTTGGTTGATTATGGATCTAAAGTAGGGGCATGAAAATGAGTTTATGGGTAAGGTTTAAGTCAAATTCAAAATTGGCCTGCTTTCTGTTGATCCGACCCGATTAGACAGACATGTAAAAAATTTAGCCCCTGGACCCAACCCGATGGGTCACCGGGTTGACCCAACTTGATTTGCTAACCCGCGGGTTCGAGAGCACAACATGTGAGCATCGAGCATGGGCTGCGTGTTGGATTGCACGAGAATGACTGCAGGCAAGGGCAGGTGCGGGAGTGTGCAACTGCAGGTGAGAGTGTGATTGCTGGCGAAGGCGGAACTGCACAAGTGAGCAACTGCGTGGGTGCAAGCATGGGTGTCAACAAGTGCGAGCGGGCAAGGGTGAGGCCGAGTCGCTGCGAGCGCCTACGAGATTGCGAGAAAAAGTGCGAGCACCTCGAGCGTGACTGCGTAGGTGCACGAGTCCGGGGGAAATGTGCCTGCTCGTGGGAGATTGGTGAGGTTGGATGGGACGTGGGTCAAATCCAAGTCAAATTAGGGTTAGTGGGTTGATCCAATTTTTCAAACGGGTCAAAAATTGGAACCTAAACCTAACCCATTTGTTAAATGGGTCGATCGACCCAAATTTTCAGGTCGGATTATCAGGTTGGGTCAATAATTGACACCCCTAATCTAAAACCATTGATTTTAAAACCTCTTCTCATTTCCTCTTAAATTCTTAGCATCAAATCAAATTTACAAAATTTTTTAAAACAACTAAATATTTTCTTTTTTCAAATAAGAAAAATAAGAAATAGTATTTTTTATGCAGAAATACTTACAAGAATAAATATGATAACTGTAGAAAGTAGTAATAAAGAAACTAAGTACCACAAGATGATAACAAGTATGTAGTTAGCTCAAAATAATAGCCAACATCCGTGGGAGAGGAGAGGAGAGGAGCTTTTCAACTGCGAATAATTCTGATGCATCTTGCTCACAAAAGCAGAAAAAAAAATTCAACAAACATAACTCCCCTAGCCCTAGCCAATAACCCCCTTTAAATAGCTACAGCTCCCATTAAACACATTAAAAACCTTCTTAAATATTTCTCCTTTGATTTATCTTTCATACATAATGAATATTAACTCCCTTGGGCCCCACGGGAGGGGCCGAAACCCCCTCCCTGCTCCTTTGATGTAACAATACTCTCTCTCTCTCTCTCTCTCTCTCTCTCTCTCTCTCTCTCTCTCCCCCTCCCTCCCCCCCAAAGACGCACCTTGTCCTCAAGGTGGAAGGACGTGAACTATCTTTTGGTCGTTTCGTATGGCTCCCATGTAGCTAGATTTATGCTCCGAAAAATCATTCCACTTGATTAGTACCTCATGTACTTTTGTTTCCCCTCGATGCACCCCTTCTACGTCTATGGGCTCCAAAATGACCTCCATATCTTCTGTAAAAGTCAGGGGTAATGGAGACGGTGTGTGATTTCCTATCATAAGTCTTAGTTGTGAATCATGAAATACGGGATGGATTCTGATTAAGGTTGGTGGCAATTGTAAGCGATATGCTACTACGTTAATGCTCTCTCCTACCTCACAGGGTTCAAAGTAGTGGGAGGAGAGCTTCTCATTGCTTCATCGAGCCAAGGTCCTCTGTTTGTGAGGTCGGATCTTCAGATAAATCTTATTCCCAACCTCAAACTGCATGTCTCTCCTGTGTCCATCCGCCTACTTCATAATTGTTGTGCTCTCCGTAGATATTCCTTCAATTCTATCAAAATCCAGTATATTTCTTCCAAGTACTTCTCCACTGATGACCCTGATATGTTGTTGTGCCAATAATGTATCAGATGAGGTGGATCCCTCCCATATAGGATTTTAAATGATGTTGTTTGGGTTGTTATATGAGATGAAGTGTTATACCAATATTCCGCCCAGGTTAACCACTTGACCCACATCTTTGGTTTATCTGATACAAAGCGATGAAGATAAGTCTCCATACTACGATTCACCACCTCCCTTTGACCATCCATCTGAGGGTGATAGGCTATACTCCGCTTTAGAATAGTCCCCTGCATTTTGAATAACTCCCTCCAGAAGTGGCTCAGAAAGACATGATCCCGATCAAACACAATGGCCTCGAGTAGCAATCGGAATCACCGATAGAGTTTCAGATTGCATCTTAATGAGCTTCCTCAGTAACTTCATCCCTCCAAATCGGCTCTCCATTGTTGTATACCTCCTTCGATGGTTGAGAACTTTTCCTCCATCCCGGACTTGATTTGCTCCAATTCGCTTTCCAATGCATCCACCTTGGCTGCTGTCATCTCTCCAAAACTTCGCTCTGATATCAATTTTATGCATCTTGAAACCAAAAAACAACAAAGAGACAAATAGGAAATCGCAAAAACCCCAAGATGGGGGCTGAATTTTGTATTTCTTTTTCAACAATAATGAAAGATATAAGGGTTTTGCTGTTCGAGAGGTAGATCGTCTCACCCACAAACACTAGTCATTTCTAGGGAACTCACAAAAGTAGAAAAACAACAAACATAACCCCCCCTTTAAATAGCTATAACGCCCATTAAACATATTAGATATCTTAAATTTCTCCCCAGAATTCTCCTCCTTACATAGTGATATTATCTCCCCTGGGCCCCACAGGAGTGGTCGAAACCCCCTCTATGTTGCTCTGGCTCTTGCCGAGCTGGTTTGTTGGGTTCGGCTAGTTTGGGATGGATAACGAGAGCTGGCTCTTCCTCTCCTCTGGCATAACAAATTCATATTAGTGTACGAACAAAAATGGGCATAATAAATTATTCTTCCCCAAACTCAAGTACACCCAATTGTTATACAAAGAGCTCCAAATTTCTCCGGTCAAATAAATATGAAAATATTCTAGTATCTTATAGAAATACAATAACCAAATAGAGCGATGATAAATAAATGGATCTAATCATGTACCAAAAAAATCAAAACTTGAATGCTCGAAGAAATATCTTTTTTCTCTAGCTCTCCCTTTTCTAGTTTCTTAGCAGCAGTTGGTTGCAACCCTCAATCTCATACACAATACCCATCTCTTTTCTCACATGCAACTTGCCTTGCAGGTGCATCCCTGCTTGTGATACCATGTATGCAGCTCACCTTGCTGCTTGTGATACCATATTTGCAACTCACCTCACACCCATGTCCCTATTTGCAATATTGCAGTTGCACATGCATAGTCTTGCATCCAACACCTGCTTTTGCACTATAGTTTGAAATCGCTACTAACGCCCGCTCTTTTTCGACTGAATATTGCAATGCACATTGCATATTACTCGCACTCGATCCTCGCCCACTATCACGTGTTTGTTGTATCGTCTTGCTTGCCGCTTCTTAGTAATTGATCTTTCCTGTATCACCTACTCTTAATGATCTAAGTAAACTCTTAGATTCTTCTTGCTTCTCTCCTCATAGTGTCATTGATTGTACATCTATCATTATTTAAAACCATCGACTATTGATTCGACCATAAAATTTATTGGTATTAACTTTCTCTTGTAGTTGAGGTTGTTTGTTACTTTGTTGGTTTTCAGGTCAAAATTTAACATTTTGATGTGTCTTCTTCTACTTGCAATGACTCTTAAATTCTCAAAAATGAAAAGCATCTCACTTTGTTGTCCTCATTGGATATTAAATAATTTTGAATCATATATATCCTTGATTATCATGTTCCAAGATACTGCCAAGAGAAAGTAAGAATTTCCTCATTCCACTTATTTTCAAGAAAATAATATCTCTCGTGCTTTCTATCTCTATTATGGGATTCTCTCTTCAATAATATGATTTGCCTATCAAGCAATATAACAATACCTTGCAAAATAACTGTGATGAACTTCTAAATTGCAGACCATTTACCATTAATCCAATCTTTTGGCAAAAATAGAATGCTGAATTTTTTTCAAGAGAATAATTCTTTTTGATCTTCATTTATGCCCTTTTTATGAGGCATTATGGTGTTGGGATTAGGGTTGTAAGTGAGCCGAGCCGGCTCGAGCTCGACTTGATAATGAGCTCACGAGCCGAGCTCGAGTTCGAGCATGATGAGGTTCGGCTTGTGAGCTCGCGAGCCAACTCGTAATAATATAACTGATTTTTTAATTAAATATATTTGTTTTTCTAAATAAAATCTATTATTACAGTTGGGATTTGAAAAAAATAATAAAAAATGATGCCTAGCATTGATTGAAGTTTTTATTACAGCTGAGATTTGAAAAAAAAAATAAAGAGCTGCCTATCATTAATGAAACTGCAGTGAAGCCGCCTAAAATTAATGAAATTATAGCAGTATTCTTGGGAAAATAAACTACAACAATGGAATAAGTAAGAAAACTATTGCTTTTTTCCAAAAAAAAGAAAATTGTTGCGATTCACAAAGAAAAATATAGAAAACAAATATATTTCTCCTTTTCTCGCGCAACAACCGCACAACCTCCTTCGATACAGGAGAATACACAATCTTCCTCTGAAAGCGAAACCGGGATCTCACGAGCTACTCGCGAGCTTATTTTTACCACCATGAGTCGAGCTCGAGCTTGGCTTTTAAGCTCGACTTGATTTCGAGCTCATGATTTGGACGGCGAGTCGAGTTCGAGTTAGGCATGATTCGAGTTTGACTCGACTCGTTTACACCCTTAGTTGGGATTGATGTTTTAGGTACAAGTCCTATGTTTTTCCCACCTAGAATTTAAATACTTTATTACTTCGGTGATCTCTCTTGTGCATGTGAGTACTAAAAAACTGCTTTAAGAAGCAGTAAGAAAGCCGTCCTAAACAAAGCCTTATATATAGCAAGAAGTATTGAGGAAAAGCACTACCATACACTAAGAATTGGCATCATAATGCGGAAGGTTTTTCAGATGCTGGCTATAATTGGTCAATTGATAATAGCAAATCCACATCTAGATACATAATATTTGTGAGAGGTAAGTTAGTGACATAGAAGAGTAAGAAACAATGGTCGATTAGATGTAATGTTGAGTCAAAATAAGGAGTTGTTATACACTATTTGTCAGATTTTGATTTTGCACAACTCATAATCTTAAATTGTGACAAACTTACTCACATCTACATTTTTTTCTCAATTAGATCAGTGGCCATACCTCTATCACAAACAGGAGCTTTTCCTGGCAGGATGGGCCACAAAAAGCCACAGATCTATTCACCTTACATAGCTGCAGCATCAGCATTTACACACCTGGTAACTGACCCAAAGAGAATTCTTACAGTAGAAGAATGATCAATTTTGGTCTAAGAAAGCTACTGTAGAACTATTTTAATCCCAGTTGATGATATTTTCTCCATTTCCTCTTATACTTTATATGGTTTTGTTTTGTTTTGTTGTAGTGTTACAAGGTAAAAATGTAGAATTATGATTCAGTGCATTTTTAGGAGACAGGTCTGTCATTCTGATGGCTGTAGGGTCTTGCAAGCAGGGTCAAGAAATATGCTACCACCAGCTTGGAGTTGAGTGGTGTTGCCTTTGTCCTTCGAAGGGAGGTAAAGAAATTGTTGTTTCTTATGATTGATTGTATTTTTATGGATTTGAATGTATTTCAGGGCCTAGACTTCGATTGAGGCTAACTGATCTCAAGTTTTTAATGAAATGGATTTCTTTTTTTTAAGTTGATTGAGTTATGCTGACATTGTTATTTTTAACTGTTTTTAAAATTGATTATACTTGAATTAGTAGTGTAGGGCTGATCAATCTGAAGTTTTTTATTGAATTCAAGGTGTCAGTTCTTTTCTTTTTCTTCTTGTTATGTTTGGAACAGCTTTCTTACTGCTTCTTATATTATCGTAAGATAACTTTGAGGATGGTTTGATAATTTATACAATTTAATAATATTTTCTTTATTGAATGCTATGCTTGTATCATAAGATAATTTAGATTTCTAAGTTTGGAGATCATCTCATAGTTTACACAACAATTATTTTAAAGGGAAATTGGAGTTTATGTTTGATAGTATATGTAATTGGAGAAATTTGATTTCAATGGTTTGTTTTGTTGGAGAAATATGCTTGAAAGTTTATTTTGAATGATGAAGCTATTTATAACGAGGGATAATTTCTTGTATTCACAAAGAACTCAAATGATTCTCAAGTAATTCAAAGTCGCTTAGAATTAGTTTGAATTCAAACCTTGTTTGTGTGAGGAGCTCAGTGTGGGAAGGTTTGATGAGAGTTAGAAAGCGATAAGAGAAGAGGATTTTGTGAAGAGAGCTCAATGGTAGCTTACCAATGGGATAAATGGTGTGTGAGAAGAAGAGAACTTTGCAACAAAAGCTTGTTGAGGGCTCCCTATGGGCGAATTATTGCATCCGGTCACCTGACGTCCGGACAATCAATCCGGATGCGCCATGTCATCTAAATACACTGGCCCCGGTATATTTTGCTGATGTGGCACGTCTGGATTGGTGTCTGGATGAATCCGGACACCGGGCGCAATAATTTGCTCTCCCTATGAGACTGGCGACGTGTGAGAAGAAAAGGATAATGTGATAGAAACTCGATGGGCTTAGGCTTTGATCGAACGAATGACATGGAGGAGAAGAGGATTTTGCGACAAGTGAGGAAGGCAAGCATTGGACCAGCAAGGTATGAGGAGAAAGAAATACATTTTTTGATATAATTTTTCAAGAAAATAAAAGCAGAGATATATTTTCAATTATGTATACTATTAGGAGTATAAAGTCAAAATTCTCTTATAAAACAAGAAGGGTTTAGGAGCAAAGTATTTGATTGTTTAAAATGCCTAAATTATTTAATTTCATATTGAACATTGTTTTAGAGCCAAATTTGCTGCAATTTATGTGAAGAATATTTTAAATTTATCAAATAATCTCATTTCTCTAATTATAATAACAATTTACATTTAAGTTCTCTTATAATCACATGTTAGGTTTTTGGCCTTTGTTATATGTGAGTAAATCATATGTATGCTGAGTGATAGTCATTAATATTATATTTTAATTAAAATATTATATTATATAATGCCTTTAACAATTACTATAGTTATGAATGATTTAAGTGACATTTCAATCATTTATGAAAATAAAAAATAAAAATAAAAAAACTATTTATTGGTTTTTTATTAAGTGGTTGAATAATTTTAACAAAATTTGAACGTAATTATATACTCTTTCATTTTTTGATGTAATGTAAGTTAAATACATTTATATATTTAAGATTTTGTTAAATGTATTTAAATACTTTAGTAATAAATTTAAAGATAATAGAAGTGCATAAAACTATATATGATTTTATTATGAGTTATATATCAAATTAATATTTTAATATAATAAATTATAAATTATTTAGAATGTTATATAACACACACAATTGGTTAAAATAATAGAATGTTATAAATTATTTAGGCGTATTTTATTTTTTTGGTAGTTTTCTTTAAATCTTTAATTGTTATTTTTATTTTGGTAGTTGTGTAAATATTTATTATTTTTAAGAAACAATGTAATTTTTTTTTAATAAACAATATGTATTTAAGATACTCTATAATATAACTTAATAGTTTGAATAAATGTCGTATTTATATGCATTGAATTTTTTTTTTTTTAAATATAAACATTGTCATGTTTATATGAGCTTAGATTCTAAGTAAAATACATATGTTTTAAAATAAGGTACATACATTAATGGGGAGGTAGTTAGAATATTTCTAAAGTTGTTAAGAGTGGTGGTTGATTTATGTTTCGTTTGGGGCGGCTTTCTTATTGCTTCTTAAAGCAGCTTTTTAGTAAAAAAATTTTAATTTTTGTATTAAAAAGTTGTTTTAAAAAGTAGTAAAAAAGCTGTCCCAAACGAAACATTTAGGATAGCTTTTAACCACTATTTATTATTATTTTCATAAAATTTTTTGTGTTAAAAATTACTATAAAAAGTAGAAATAAAGTTGCCCAAAACAAAGCCTTAGAGTCGGTGAATTTCTAAGAAAATTGTTACTAGTTCTATAAAATTTTGGCTGATATTTTCTTGAAATAGATGGTAAGGTTTTCTTTGATAGAAAGCTGTGCTGACCTTTATATCAGAGGTTTGGATGTTAGCTAAATAAATGGAGATAATTTTAGCTCAATTGAATGTATGATTAAAAATTATGAATTATTTATGTGGAATGCTCATATCATGTACAATAGTAGTTATGTTTTTGATGGAGGGAAAATGACTTGGCTTTTGAAGAGTAGAGGGTTTGAGGCCTTGATGAAGATGTCGAGGATGCCAAGAGTTATTTGAATTTGTAATAATCTTCTTTGATAATAGATGAATTGGCTGTCGACTACCTAACGTAACCCTACATTTTTCTCATCCAAAACTTGGAACCTGACAATGGCAGTGTTAAATTCCTCTCTAACTACCCATCAAAATTTGGTAGATTTATACTTGACAAATATATGCTCTTACAAAAATTATATATATGAACCACCAACCACAGTAGTCCTCCAATTCAATTAATTACTCACACGATAATAGAAAAATTCATAGACAGATAGGTTAGTCACATTAATCTACATTTATATCTTATTTAGTCTATGTCTTTCTTACAGCTTCTTAAAATAACTTTTTAAAACAAAAATTTTATTTTTTTACTAAAAAGATGACATTAATCAATTGACAGCGAACATAAAATTTATCAAATAATTATAACATTTTCATAAATAAATAATTTAAAAAATCATAATAGAATATTCTAATCAATATTTTTAACTAAGACGAACCTTAAAATCTTTTGAATAAGCTTTAAACTTAGTGCAAATATATATTACACTAATCTCAATGAAATTTTAAAAACTTTGAGCCACATCAAGATCATTTTTTATTAGAAACTCGTGACACAAATTCTATTCAAGAAAATTATTTTCATTAAAAAAATAAAACAAGAGCTGAAAAAAATTCTGCAAAAATAGCTCAAGCAGCCCAAGCATTTAACATAACAACAAGGTTTGATCAAATTGCAGACTTGGCAACTAAATAAGATTGCAAATAATATGGAAAACCAACAAGAAGAAACAGTGCTTTTCACCCATTACAATTACTTGAGAAAGAATAATATGACTCAAACATGAAGCTTAGTTATACATATAATTAAACTAATCATGCATTCAAGCAGAGAGAGAATTATTTGCAGTCTCCTGAAGCTGCTTTGATCCATCCATCAATTAAAGTTTCGTTTGGAACAGTTTTCTTACTGTTTTTTAAAGCAGTAGTTTTTTAATATACAAATTTTAATTTTATACTAAAAAGTTGCTTTAAGAAACAATAAAAAAGCTGTCCAAAGCAAAGCCTAAGTTGATGATAGAATTTTGGTTTCTGCTTCTGGGAAAGTTCATCCTCCTCCAAGTGGATTTTTCCAAGCAAATCTTTCACATTTCACATTCATCATACTGAAGCTAAGAATATGAGACTGCATAAATGACAAGAAACAAAAGAGATGAAGAGGTCAGCTTTGATTTCTAGCAACCATCCATATTTGTTTGTAAGAAAATGATAAACTTTCAAATAGATCCATATTTCAGTTGGAATCATCTTTAGCTGCTTATGTGAACAGCTGATTTGGCATCTTTATTAAATTATGAAATTTATATCCAACTCATGCGGATTTCATCAAACCTGGCAGGCTTTCAACTGTTTCCATGGTAAAAAAAAAAGTTAATGGAAAGTAAAGTGTTTGGAAGATAGCTTTTTAATTTTTACTTTCAAAAAGCTGATTCTGAAAAAGCATTTCGAATTTTTTGTACTAAAAAACTATTTTAAGAAGCAGTACAACTTTCTTACTGTTTTCTAGAACAAAAATTTTTTAGTTCTAGAAGAAAAGATGTTATATCAGCTAAATATTATATAAATAATTGAAGAGACACCAATTCAAAAATGTCTCTTTTCCAAGATTAGCATTATTTGTTTTGAAAAGATGTATGGAATTTTGCAGAGCATCTGAAGGAAATGTCAAATAGACACCACAAAATTACAAACCTGTCTTGTTTGTATTAGTATTTACAGCCGGAACTGCTACAGACTAGATCATTTTGGAGAAAAGAAAAATAGCCAAATCTTGACTGAATCTAGCATTAAGACAACTAATATGGCATGCTAAAGAAAATAGTCATTAACAACGAATTTCCAACGTTTAAGTACAGAAATTAGCTACTGCAGCAGCTAAACTATAAAAAAAAATCTGTCCTTCAAGCTATTTCTTTGACATGACAACAATTTCCAAATCACATTTTAGCTATTCAGCTATCTCTCAAGACACTACTTCGGTAAATTATTCTATGCGAACCCCAAGCGCCGTTCAAAGACCAACCAGAATGCACCACATCACCCCCGCTCAGTCCCGCGGCTCAGGTACCGCTCGTTACCGCGCTCGCTACTGCTGACGTGGCGCATTCTGGTTGATCTCCGGACGCCGAACTGCATTCGGCGTCCCCACAGAATAATTTCTCCACTAATGTCGTCATTCATCAAGTAAAACTTTCTAACAAACTAATATCATAGAACTTTATATAGGAAATGTTTACCTTCTTCATCAAACTAGTCGCACATTAAGTAATGAAAATATTCCATATCTCATAGAATTGGAATCAGATTTGTTGTTAAATAGGTACAGCCAAAAAAAGAATTTATTCTAAAGTTGGATATCTCTCAAAGTGAACTGTGAAATAAGGCCAGCAGACACAACTCTCCTTGGCCTATTGGTTGAAAGCTTAGGCTTCCAACTAAGAGGTTCGAGTCCTTGTGTATGCGTTGTGTATGTGAGTTTGCCTTATATGGCCTAAATATCCCAAAAAAAAATAAGGCCAGCAGCTAAAGCTACTTTTCAGCAAAAGAGCTTATCTTTTCAACATTTTAAGGCCACCCTTTTCTCAAACGTAAAAAGAGAATAAAAGAAAGAACAAAGGACATAATATCATTCTAGAGAAAATAATGGCTAGAATTGATTTTGTTCAAGTATTGCAAACTAATTCTTTCTATTTTGTGAGCCAATATTTTTATTTTGTTAAAAACAACTGTCTTGATTGTTGTCTTATAAAACGGAAGGAATTGTCTTGCAAGATGACTAACATGTCTTAAGGTTAAAGAAGAAGTCTATTGTTTTCTCATCCAAGTATTTCACCAACTTTAATAGGTAAGTTCACATTCAATAGAAAATTTATCTTAAGATGGTTACTGAACATACAAAATGATTGCAAATAAGCAAAAGAAATAAAAAATTAACATAAACTGGAGCTCCTCAATTTCTAGAGAAGATTGAAATAGCAACAAAACCAACAAGTAAAAAAATATATATATATATATACCTTAGATCTTGATAATCTTAGCAGCTCTGATCACAGGGTTTGCCTTAGAGATCTCCTCTCTACCTGCAGCCTTGTAATCAAAAGAACAATCATGAGTATCAGAATACCGGTGCCGACCACAGAATAGATCACCACATCGGCACCGGAATCCGGTGAGACCAAGCCTTCTCCGGCAAGTCGAGCAACGGTGGCCACAAAGAGCTGGTTGCCGAGAAACTTCCTCCGATTTTATCAGGGAAGAAACCTTGACAACAGCTGCCACAATTTCTGGCCTCTCAGACCTTTGACCTAAGAAATCCTGAGAAGGTTTCAACAATAAACAAGATGGTTGCTGTTGTGGAACAGGCTGCGAAGGTGGTGCTGATGGGGAGCTAGGGTTTTGCGGAGTGGTAGAAGAAGAAGGAGAAGGAGAAGAGGGCGTGAGGATCTCAGCCTCGTCGTTACCAAGGTTGCAACTTTCTCGTGCCATTTAATAATTCAGAAAACACCTTAACTAGCAAAAGTTTAGACCAGACTAAAAGCTGAAGTTCACAGTAGAGATTAAGGAGAAATTAGGAGCTTTAAAGACAAACAAATTCGCACAAAAGAGAGATGGAATACTGGAAAATTAAGCAACTGGGCCAAAAGAATCAAGCTTTACCAGATAGAAGCCCCAAATTAGATCGATGGAAAGAGATTTTTTTGATTTAAAGAATAGATCGAAGAAAATAAATAAGAAATAGCTTGATTCCTCCAAGGGTTAGAAGAACGCGATCGATCGATCGCGTTTGAAGGAATTCGAGGAATTCGGGAGAAGAACAAAAAGGACAGTGAACGGAAATGTTGAAACTTTGAAGAAGGTGCCCATAAAATATAGAGAGATTAAAATAATATGAAAATAGTATAATTTTTTTTAATAAAAAGTTAAAGAATGCGACGCAGAAAATAAAAGGGAAGAAAATGGTCTGTGATTTCCGTAGACTCACCACTAATGATCAATTACTGTGCTGTGGACGTAATTTTTAACATTTTATATGTGATTTGATGAATTTTTTATGACGTATTAATTAATAAAAATCTCAAAAATCTATGAACACAGTCTATGAAATATAATTATATGTTATTTTTCTGCTTCTGCAAACAATGCAAAACCTGCTAAGGTTTAGTTTGTAAATTAGAAAGAAATCAGTTTCTTGTTAGTAGAAGATGTGGACATAAAACAAACTGAGAAGTCACCTGCATATTTACATATATATCACTGAAAATTTGTTTGTTTTACATATCTAACACTTGAAAATTACTACTTACTCTAACGACATCTGAAACTTTGAACTATTCAAATTTAGTAATTTACCAATCACCACCACTTAGTTATTCCGGCGACTCCATAACCATAGTTTTGTCGAATCGCCATTATCCGGCAGAGACAGCCTCACCCCGCCCATTGCTCCGCCCCTCATTAACTATCTGTTGTTACAGTTCTCTGTTTTAGTAATAGATGGTGAAACAGATTGCAGAAAAAATAAAAAAATGGATTCTAGCAACTTCAAATATATTACAAATCTAACATATTTTATAATATGGATATCTTTAGAAGGTTTTAAAATTCAGTAATCAGTAAATGGTAAAAAAAAGCTGCACATATAGGACTAATTCACCTGAGGACAACCCCCCTGTAAAAAAAAATTATTATATGATTCTTTAGATAATTTGTCTCCCTCCATGTAGTTTTTAGGCTTTATTACAAAAATTTGAGGCAATTGCCCCACTAAAAGTTAAAAAAAAACTATAGTCTTTAGGCAATTGGCCCAACATAATTAATACCATTATGTAGAGATGTTATTGTTAGAGAACGATGAACCAAATACAAAGAAAAATATTAAAGAAAATCCAAAAAATATTCTTACAACCAAAATTTATTCTTGGAGCACTGCCGCCAGAAACCCCTGCAGTGGGCGCTGCCCCCTTGGACCCCCGACATATCTGCAAAGCATACAATGATGAATAAATAGGGGTAGAGAAGAAGTGCCCTTGGAACAAATTTTAATTGTAAGAATATTTATGAAAAAAGAATTCTACACTTCTACTTATAAATTCCCTCGCAACAGTTGTTTTAGCCGTAGGATGGACTCTGCAATTTGTTACTGATGCAATTGTTGCATAGGACTCAGTTGATTACTAATTCAACTGCTGCCAATCCTCAATCCTCGATGCATTCGTGCAACATATGTAAAATAACTATAGGCAACATTGATCAATAGGTGTTTGGTTGCAACAGCAGCTATCAATTCTTTGTATGACTGAAGCAATCAAATGTCAAATCAAAAACAGGTTTAGTTCATATAAATGCGGCTACCAATTCAACTGCAGTTTCTATGTAGCATGTATTTACATATAGCAGCACATATCAATTCTAATAAATGTGGCTACTAATTCAACTACAGCAATCATATATAACATTTAGGCTTTAATTGGGATGGCTTTCATTCTGCTTCTTAAAGCAACTTTCAAGTAGAAAATTTTTATTTTTTGAACAAAAAAGCTACTTTAAGAAGCAATAAGAAAGCCGTCCGAAACGAAGCCTTAGTTACAATTATGAGAATAGCTTCAAACTGCAAGCTGTAGTTTAATATATAACAACAGTTCAATAAAATATGTAACTGCAGATGGCAAATTGTAAAAGCAAGATGAATTGTTACATAGACACTGCTCTTAACAGAGGTTCAAGCTCCAGTTTATGTATAACTGTAGTTACATATAAATTGTGTTGGGAAGTAAACCATAGAATGAAACAAACAGATAAGGAAAACAATGGAAATGACACCTGAATTTAAAATGGAAAAATCCGAAATAGAGAAAAAACCATAGAGCCTAACAACACCAAGAAACCCGCTGTGAAATATTGGGAGAAATTGTACAATATCTCTTCTTCACGCTCTTTTCTTGTCTCTACTCACTTCTCTTTTAGTTCTACCTCAGAACAGACAAAGAGACGCATTTCAATACACCAAGGGATGCAAACCTTCAAGGGAAACAAGAAAAAAAAGAAAGAAAAACTGCACAACCGATCTCGCAACGCTGTGGTGTTGTGATGTAATACATGCATGAGGTTACAAGAGATTAACAAAAGAATTTATTAAAAGTTAACCATCATAAAATTATGCGTCAAATAAAAGTAAGATGTTAAAATTTGCAGTCTTTCACTTGTTTAGGCAAAGAAATACATGAAGATTAACCAAGACACTCAATCAAATACAAAGGCGAACGTAATGTAATAGCTTATAACACAAATCCGAAATTTAATATTGAGATGTCCACCTTGATGGTTTACTCTCTCTCTATGGTTCTAGGGTTAGCGGATGAAGATCTTCCACACCAAAAGTGAGATGACCACTAGGAAGGAAGAGCCGAGGAGCTTGGTTGTTGGGAAGGTAGCCGGAGGTGGAGGAGGCAAGAATCGTCCAATGAGGAACCACGGGGTTCTTGGTCGTTGAAGCTTGATAGTCTCGGCGAGATAATAAACGATGCGGTTGACGTAGCGTTCCATTGTGCTGTCATACTCCCAATCCGGCTCGTAGAAGGGAGAGAGTAGGATGTCGATCTCGCCTTGGGCGTTGTAAGCAAAGTCATGATCAACTGCCGGATCCGCCATTCATGATCATGAGAGGACTTTGTGTGTAGTTGGGAAGTAGGGGTGGAGAAGCGGCTACCTAGGAGAGGCGGCCAAGAGGAGGAGGGGACGGTGGGGGGTTTGGGTAGATTAGGGAAGAGAAGAAGAGGGATGGAGAAGTTAAAAATCTGAAATTAATTCAGATGTTGATAAAGATGGGAGGGAGGGAATTAATTTTGAAATTCAAACTAAGCCCATAAAAGGGGGGCCGGCGGTTAGGAGGGAAATAGGGAATTAAGGGGGATTAATTGGTGGCAATTAATGAAATAGGAGAGAGAGAGAGAGGGGGATAGGTGGCCGGCCAAATAAAGAGAGGGGGAGAGGGATTTAGGTTTAATTAAGTGGGCCCCAAACAATAAACATTGATTTAAATAAAAATCTGAATTGAATTTCAGATTTTATCTAAAAGGAGAAGTTTCCAAATTTAAGTGCTAGCATTTGAATTGAAATCCAATTAAGTAACTTTCATAATTGCTTAGACTTATTTTAGGAAAGTGATTAATGCACATTTGAAATTTGAATTTCAAATGAGAGGGCTTGGGGAGGTGGGCCGGCGGGTTGAGCAAGTAGAGGAAGGGATGGTGGAGGAGGGAGGCCGGCGGCTAGGTGGTTGGCCGGTGGGTGGGGCGGCCGGTGGGATGGGGTGAAGGGGCTCGGGTTTTGGGAAAAAATTAGATGCTTTGGTTAGGGAAGGCCGGCGGTGGTTGATTGGGGAAGAATTGAAGGTTAGAGAAGAAAAGAGATTGGGGTCGCGAACCTTGGAATCCACCAACGGTTGACGGGTCTTGCTATCGCTCTCCTTGGGCTTCTTCTCTCATGAACTCACTTAGAGATCAAACAAAGAACATAAAATTTCATTTCATAATCATCATCCATTACAATAGAGGAGGCCACAATATATAGGCCTAAGGAAACAAAAAAGACAAAGACGTAAATGCCCCTGAGGCTACAACTCAAGACAACTAAAAAAAAATGGTACAATTGTAAATAACAATTAATATATAAACATCAAAATAAAGGCTGTGGATCGTAGCCATCGATCTGTGCCTCCGCTGATATACTCGTCGAAAACGTCTGTCGATGTCCTCATTAGGTTGAGGTTTGGAGCTCTGCAACGCTCCACTCTTTGTTTTCATCCTAACTCAAAGTTCTGCACCGATGGGATTTGGAGTGTCATAGCACTCCGCACTTTGTCTCCAAGTCAAAATTGTAGTACCGCCATGCTGCATCCTACAACGTTGCATCGCTTGTATAGAATTTTTTTTCCCTAGGGCACAACCCTAGACCCCCAAGCAGGAGCAACATTGCGCACCCCCCCCCCCCCCCCCCCCTAATTTAGTATTAAGTAATAGCACAAAACAAAGATGTTAGATATCTCTAATGCATAAACAGATATATAGTAATATTAAATGAAGTTGTTTCAGTATATTATTTGGATCTTAATTGTAATTCTGCTATACATAAATGACTCCTACAGCTTCAATCTTGCAAGGCCTCCATAACTGTTTGTCAAAACAGGATAGAAAACATATACTTTGCAATAGATAGATCGATCATATAGCAGCTAGAGCAGGTTCAATTAAAATTCCGGCGAACTATTACTGTTAGCACATTATACAATATATAGGAAAATTTCAACTACTTCCAAACGTGCAATCGCGGAGTCTAGGGCACGCCGGAGAAATCGATCCCTGTCGACGAGAGGGCGCGGGAAAGGAAAGCAGAAAACCTGCTCACTGATCACAGGAGAAGCTTCCTGCGGCTGCAATTGCGGAAGAGGAGCGCGGATGAAGGGAGGCTGTTGGCTTGAATTTTTTGACGGAGCAATCCACGCAGGAACCAGTCGAACGGACTTTAAAGGGCGGCAGCTACAAAATTGCGGGGACAAATGATTTGTGCATCTTACTGCTACAGAGAAAGTTATTTTTAAAGCGGTTAAAAAATAGCATTTTAATATTTTTTTTTAAAAAAAAATTACTAAAAATATTGTGACAAAAAATGAAGATTATGATTTCGATCTGAAAGCATACCATTAAGAGAGCTTATTTAAATAGGATTGTAAAGGAGTCGAGTCAAGCTCTGAGTCACTCTTGGCTTGTGTCTGAGCTTGATTAATCAAGCTCGAGCTCGAGCTAGAATTTTA